GGGGGGGGGGAGGTGTCCAACTCTGAGTTTGCTATGTGAAAGGGGGCACCATCAATACGACAGTTGGGACCCAAACGTTTAAAGCCTCTGGCTCACTGGAGACCAAGTGCCATTGTCAGGGGCGAGCGGCCCATGCAGGCTCAGGCGGGAAGAAAGCGCTAGGAACAATTGAAACCGCACGGCCGCTCCTTTCCCACCAGTCCCCAGCCTTTGAACACGCTGCCAGGGCAGAGGAGGCAAGAGAGGTTGTCCTGACAACCGTTAATCACTGTCCTAGGTGCACATCGTATTAGGTTTCCAGTTCCCTACTCTGGAGCTGGCGGGGGATGGGTACAGAGGAGCCCTGTTGCTTTAATTCCAGGTGCGGTGAGGAAGTTTCTCCTGCAGTCGCTTGAGTCATCCCATGGGCGGCTGGTCCTAGCGCTCCTGACCTGTGAGATTCCTTTGGCTGCCAGCGTGGAGCAGGGGTGGGCAAGATCCGGCCCACGGGCCGAATGTGGCCCTCCAAGCCATGTGATGCGGCCCGTGGCCACAGCTCTGGTCAATTGAGACCGTGAAGTTTCCTTCTCCCGCCAGGGCCACATGGCACCTGTAGGGGCCCCTTCCGCCTGAGGCCCCGCCCCCTCTGCCTGAGGGCGGAGCCAGCCCGCAACCACTATTCACAATTCGTGAAGTGGCCCCGCTACAAAAACGATCGACCACCCCTGGTGTAGACGCTACACCGGCCCAGGCATGACTCAGATGCCATTGGTGCACGGAGGGCTAGGAATGGAATGAGGAGCAGAAATTCTTGTACTTGGCTCTTGCCCTCTGATTTGAAATGCTGTGAAGCTCTTGATGAGCTCACCGTGCCGCTCCCAAGCCCAGAGGCCGGGCCGCCCAGGCCCCCATCACAGAAGGGCCAGGGCAGAGCCAGGATTAGAACTCCTGACCCAGCTTGGCCCTCAGCCCCCTGCTCCCCCCTAGGATTGAAATACCCTGGTGCATTATGGAGGGGCTCGGGCTAGAGTTTTCCTCTGCATGCGGCTTTGCTTTCTGCCTGCAAACCTCACGCTGTTCTCCAGGGCTCTGCGCTTTGACACTAGGGGACTGCTCCAGCCCGCCCCAGTACCAGAAATTGCCTTTGCCCCAGCACAGCTGCCACTGGGGTCTGAGCTGAGGGGCTGTTGAGACTGCCCCAGATGATCTGCAGCCACCTTCACTGCATACCCACCCAACCTCTGGGCACACCTTCCCTAGATTTCACTACCTCTTCAAGGCCAGGAACTGGGCTGCAGTAATTACTGTAATCATCCTGCCCAGCCCTATCCAATTAACTTTAATTACTCATGCTCTTTCTTCCCAGACCCGCTTCACCCCAGGGAGCTCTGGCCAGTGGGGCTTTACTGTAGTCAAACAAGCCAAACAAGTGTGCCCGGCAGGCAGAGGAGCCCCAGGGAGACTTGTACTTGCTGCAGGTGCACTACAAGGCCTGGCTGCCTGATGCCCTGCCCCCTGCCTGTCACGATGCCCCGCAGTCCTGCCTCAGCTGAGAGCACAGGGCTGCAGCTGGGACCATCTTGCTCTGCACTGCCCCCAAAGACACCATGAATCACCAAGCTCCGGAGCCAATCACCCTGGCTGGAAAAGAGGCTGAAGTGCCACCTCCGGGGTTCGGCTCTAGGGACAGCAGCAGCCCATGGCCTGGCGCTGCTGATGGAGACCCGGACCGTTCCCTGTTTCTGACACACACCCATCAGCACGGCCAGCCCAGCGGTGCCAAATCGCGTGAGACCGTACCACTCGGTAACCCAGCCGGGGCTTGGCCCTGTCCCTCCTGTCATCCTGCTGGCAGTCGGGAGGCGAGCGACAGGGCTGCCCTTTCGGTTTGGCGTGAAGTTGTTTCTCTTACACACAGAATGGGACTCTTCTGCCTCGCTCGATGGAAAGCGGAGCAGGCAGGGGCAGCCGCGCACCCAGTGGCATCAGAGAAGGCTGTTTCTGCTGGCCTAAAGGGAGCAGCACATTATTCCAAATTAAAACACACCGATAATAAGGACTCCTGTTTAGGGAACAGTACTGGATGTACTTTACGGGGAGTCAGCACCCGAGAGGAGGGAATGACTCCATTCAGCCGTGCTCCAAACAACCCGGAAGCTAAGCCGTGCATGAGACCCATGGGGCATCTCACTGGCTTAACCACGCCGCCGCCTGCAGCCTCAACGTTTCCTCCTGGACAGAATCCTTTGCCCCTTGTAACTGAGGTGCTTTGCTCAGACCTGCTCCAAAGCCCGCTGAGCAGCGAGACCTTTCCTGACGTATCTAAGCTTGGCAATGGACGGCGAAGCTGGAGCAGTCGCTGCCAGCTGCTTTCAAACGACATTCTGGCACAAGGCTGGGAAAACTGCGCTGTGCCCATAACCTCATCTAGCAGCTATCCCAGCAATGGACAACCTTCGCTAGGTGGCCTTCCTAGCCAACCTCGGCACGAGTGGCCCTCCTCCATCTCAATGGGACGCAGAATTGTCCTAGCCAAGAGACTCTCCTGGGCCGGGGGAGTTTTGCTACCGATGCTTAAGTAACTAGAACTTGCGGGGGTGCCGATTGCACCACAGCAGCGCTTGGATTGGATGCAGAGGGAGCACATGGCTCTCAGTGTTGTGTGGGACTAACACCTACCTCCCTTCACGTGCCCTGGCTTTAGGAGCAGGTCACTTTAGTAATCCCAGAAGGAAAAAATGACACAGACGGAAACCAGTGGAATCTGGCAACACTGCATGTGGAACTCTGATGGGCTGCATGTGGCCTGTGGCCTGCAGGTTGCCCACCACGGAGCTAGATTCTAGCCAGGTACCGTGTTGTGTGGGACTAACACCTACCTCCCTTCACGTGCCCTGGCTTTAGGAGCAGGTCACTTTAGTAATCCCAGAAGGAAAAAATGACACAGACGGAAACCAGTGGAATCTGGCAACACTGCATGTGGAACTCTGATGGGCTGCATGTGGCCTGTGGCCTGCAGGTTGCCCACCACGGAGCTAGATTCTAGCCAGGTACCAGCAAACCAAGCCACACATGCAGCCAATCAACAGCTGGAATCTCTAGCAGGACAGCGGTTCACACAGGGGGAGAAAGTCGCCAGTTTCTACAGGAAACTCTCAAATCAGCTGAGAATATTGGCCAGTCCTAGCCAGAGGCAGGACACTGCAGAAGTTACATGCTGGAGACAACTGTGGCTGGGGTGCCCTCTGCTGAACACTTCTGCCAGAGCTTGCAGGGATGGACCCGGCATGATCCAAACAAACTTCCAGAGAAACAGGAGCAGACCATCAGTGCAGGGGCCCTGCTGTATTCCAGCCTAGGCACCCAGTCCTGGCTTCCAGCTCCCCAGCAGTTGCCTCCCCAGGAGAGAAACCACCACACTTCCCCAGGCCTTCACTGTGTTACCCATCGAAGAACGTCCACCAGGCCCCCCAACAGCAATTCTGGGCCCTGGGACGGAACTATCAGTGGGCCCCATGCCCCCTCCCTCAGCTGGAGCCTCAAGCTCCCCACCCAGAGGGAGCTAAAGCTGGCACCAAAAGGAGACAAATCGAATGTACGTGACCCTAAACCCAAATGCCTCCTCCATTATTCATTCCTGGCAAACCCCTCCCCAGCCACCTGCCTCCTCCGCTCCAGCAGCATTACAGCACCCTGCCAGCACAATGCAGAGACGGGGCGGATGCTACCTCCGCTTGGAACCAAACAGGTGCCTGCCATGGGATAGTCACTATGCCCCATTTCCCAGCAGTTAACAATAGAGTTTCAGGAACAGCAAGGCTGAAAGGAACCTGCATGCTTGGCTCTCACGCTCCCATTCCTGTGGTTAAGGGACAGAATACCACGAGTCTAGTGATTCGTTTTTTGCAGTAGGAGGTCAAAGGGATCATCTAACTCAGAGGTGGGCAATCGTTTTTACAGGGGGCCACTTCACGAATTGTGGATAGTAGTCGGGGGCTGGCTCCGCCCCCAGAAAGGGCAGGGCCTTAGGCAGAAGGGGCGGGGCCTCGTGAAGAAGGGCCGTGCGCCCCTGGTGGGCGGAGACTCGGGGCCTCGTGAAGAAGGGCCGTGCGCCCCCGGTGGGCGGAGACGTCACATGCTTCCCTGCCCCAGGGTCTCAGTTGACATGGGGCGGGGGCACAGCAGGGCAGCTGCGGGCCCGATTAAATGGCTTGGTGGGCCACATTCAGCCCATGTGCTGGATCTTGGCCCCCCGATCTAATCACTGCCAGTGGAGAAGCCTCCAGGCATTCAATCTATTGCAGCAGATGCTGTTGGGTTTTTGATCAAGAAAAGGGGGAAGCAATGCCCCTTAAACTCAGGAATGTGGACAGGACTGAACCTGCTTTCACACTACCTGCTGCTGCTCTTCACTCTTCTGCAGGGTCTCTTCACATTGGGCAGCCCACCTGCTTCCTACTGCCCAAGTCCTCCTACAGTAACTGCATAGACAGAAACCAGGACAAATGGAAAATAAGAACCTAATTCACACAGCTCAGTGCAGAGTCCTGTGGACCTTGTGTTCACTTCAACTTGGGGCAGTCACGGGTGGTTTTTTAAAAGGTCAATCCCACCAAAAGCACTCAAAGAACTGGAGCGTAACAGAAGCAATGATCAGAGCCCTGTGCGGATACAAACCTTGTATCCCTATCCGTGAGCAGTGGCTATCCACACTGACATCCGTAGATGGCTATAGAGCAGCAAGCTATGGATTTGCAGGACAATGTTACTGTGATCTATAATAGCTGTGTGCATGAGAGATTCTTGGTATTTTAATTCAGTTGAGCTCTTCCTTCCCAGGCTACAAAAGGAGACAAGTTATCCAGGACTTCCTACACTAAAATCAGTTTATTTTTGCAATATCTTTTTAGTATAAAATACATTTTGGAACATCACAGTTTTGTGTTGCACAAAAAGGGACTGACTAGAAGGTGTTTCTACGAAGTGCCCTTGAAATGTATGCTCACGCGGAACAGAAAATGCAGAAGTACAGAGAAGAAAGAAAGGTCTCGGCGTGCTTCACTGTGGGCCTCGGAGATGCCAAATCCACCAGTCAGAGAACATTACAGCAGCCCTTGACGTTTCAAGTCTTCATAGGTCTTTTTATTCACCACGTTTCCACTGGAATCCTCATACTCCTCCTAGAAGGGAAGTGAGAACATCTGTAGTTATCTGGGCACCGTACAAAACCGGAACGGGAGAGTGAACAGTAACGGAGGTTTAGCTCTGCCAATAGCAGCCTGTCAGCCCCTTAAATGACGGCAGACTAGGATCCCCTCTGCAGCACGTCTTTGCACAGGGGGTCTAAGCACTCTCAGAGAAGGGGGAATATCAGTTTGCAATGAGGCCTGGGCTGGCACATGCCAAGTTGTTACACTGCCTGCCGCAGTACGCTGTCCACTTCGTCGCAGCTTAGCTGAACTCAGCAGGACAATGGCAAGTTCTGTCATAAATTGGATTTCACGCTGCATTGTACGTGCCTTCTATAAATGGCTTTGCTCCAGACTGGTAGGACCCCTGGGCTACAATGGAAGGTTCTTAGTTACAACTTTGACAGACTGACTCCATGGAATCCCTCACCATGTCGATTAACACCCCTCTCCCCTCAAACAGGAAGGGTGTAGACACTGCAGAGAGGGACGCTCTGGGCAGATGTCATACTAATGAGCAGCACGTTCCCAGCCAGGCATGTGCAGCTCTTAAGAGCGTCACCAACAGCTCTGTGACAAGCAGGGTGGCTTCCAAGCATACTCCCCAACGTCCAACAGAGTCTCCGGAAAACTGGTACCTCTTCTGCTGGGACCAGAGTCCCATTAATCGCCACACCTGAATACTGGTACTCAGCTCACCTCTGTGTCAGGCTGCCATCTCTCCGAAGCTTTCTGCTGCTTCAGCTTTGCCCACACTGTGAATACAAAGTCACACCAGGTCAGAATGCTGTTTCGATTCAGCTACCAGCCTTTAGCCTAGCGCGGTATGTACACGGCCACCTCTTTCTGCAGCATCCCAGGCTGACCCACACTGGACTGATTGCTCAACAAGTGAAACTGGCCATGACTGCTCCGCTAGATACCCGAGCAGCAGGGAGCCTCAGACAGGGCTGAAGGTTACTATCAAACACTCTGCTCAGCTGACACATTGGGCTTTCGTAGGAGTTGCACCAAATGTGCTGCAAGTTGCATCCTGCGGAGTTTGCCCTAAAACGAGCGGCACGTGAGTGTTGGCTCACCACACCCCACTGAAGACACGCTTCCCAACCCCAGCGCTCCCACACACACTGCAAGGGCTCCCCTTGGAGGCGGGGGGCCAGTTTGCCTCAAGTCAGCTGGTATGGAAGCTCTTAAGGGAAAGGCAGCCAGCTGAAGTAGCAAGTGTAAGGAGGAGAGTTCTGATTGGACAAGCTGACAAGCCAGATTAGAGAGGAAGGAAAGCAAACGGGAACCCTAGTTCAGCTGCACTGAACCAGAGACAGAGTGTTTCATGGGCCCCCTAAGGCCAGGGTCCTCACAACAAAATGTTTGGTGGTGTCTGAATGTGGCCACTAACTCTTGCTGGTGGACACTCTTGACAATGTTTCGTAACGTACTTAATTAACTTTAGGGAAAACACAGAAAATGAAAATCTACACGTGTCCACATCACTGCTAGTTTGTCCTGCAGACTCACTAATGAAAATAATGCACAGTTGTCTCTATTCTTACAAGACCTAAACAGAAGAAACACAAGGGTGGTGCTTTGTACAGTCTTGTCTTTTATTGTTGTTTCTTTGGCTTTTTGGCTCCCTTTTTTTAAGATTTGCTAGCTAGTACGCTTGCTGCTGTGAAGTGTTATCGGTATATTTGTTAACATCACTTTTCACAGCAGACTTACTAGCTGGCTGGGAGGCCATGAAAAGTGATATTAACAAACATTCAAATGACAAATATCAATTTTCAGAGCAGACTTGCTCGGCTCTGGCAAGCCAGGGGACAATTAAACCTTGGATGGGGACAGTGGAGGCTGGGATATTGAGGGGAGGGTGGTGAGCTGAGGAGCAGCACCCAACGCCACATGGCCAGGCTAAAGGCCCCAGGCCCCGGCCTCACTGCCCCTGGGAAGGTGGGGAACTCGCTGGCCGCCTGCTCTTCTGGCATTTGTTGCTCCACAGTGGAGCAGGGCCCAATCCCTGCTAGTTGCTGTGGGGGAGTGTTCAGTGGCCTGTCCCCTTGCCCACCAAACACTGCCCTGGAGATTGTGGCCACAAGAAAAGCCCCTGTTGGCCACATCAAAGGAACGCTGCCTTAGGCTATGCCTACACGTAGCAGAGGTGGAAACCTCAAGCAAGTGCATCAAAACAGCAGGGTGGCTACAGCAGCTGACATGCTAACTTGAGCCCGACTGGTCAGTCTGTCTGAGCTGGGACCTGCACTGTGAGCTGCTGTAAGGACAAAGTCCCAACAACAAATTTAAACTCCTCTTCCTGGGCTTTACCGCTGTGCCTAGAGGGACTATCAGACACTCCCCTCCCACCCCAGAGCTGCCAGCGCACAAGGCGACACTGTTGGCACGTCCTCGTTTCCAGAACAAAGAGCGTCAAGCCCTGCCCATCTCTGTTGGGGCTGGGCAACTTCGTGCCTGCAGCTGCTCTCAGCACGGACATGCCCCGAGCAGAAGCTTTACAGTCCAGCGGTGACTGAAGTACCCAAAGCCAACAGCATTACATCAGGGCCAGGCCAAATGCGAAAGCTGCAAGTTTGTTATAGGACTTACATCCTGGATTGTCTTTCCCTTCTCCCTCTCCACCATGGCGTGGAACCAGCCTCTTGACTGTCTGAAGGAGATTGGTGCCCCTCAATTGCAACGGGATGATTAAGGTTCTACCATATAAAAAGCTAACCCCGCCCCCCAGTGGGAACACTGACAACAACAAGGCTTTCAGCCAGCAGGCAGCAGAGATGAAGGGAAACAGATTCCACCTGCTCCCAGTTCTGCACAGAGACATCACTTACAAGAGACTGCATCTTCGATCTGCGTGACATTAGCAAAATGGGCCGTGTTGGGAATGCCCAGGCATCTCATCCCGTGTGCATGACGCCACTCCTGGAGGTAGAACAGAAAGATCAGTATATAGGCGAGAGAGTTATATCGAGTTCACAGACTCACAGCCACCCGTCATAGTCCGTCACACCTGTCTGAAAACATGAACAAAGTCGTGTCCATGGGGACTAGGATGGAAAGAAAATAAGAAGAAAAACTATTTCCTTTGACAGAAGTCAGCTTCCCTTTTCTGCCGGCCTTTCATAGTACAATACAAAAAAAAAAGTTTTATAAACTAAGAAAACGTGATGGTAAACCCATACAATTAGCAATGACAGTACGTGAAGCTGCTTTCAAACTCATGTTTTAAACAAACTATATATTTCAAGGTAAAAGCATCTAGCTTATGAGAATGTCATAATATCCAGCTTAGCACTAAGCAATGACTACAGTATAAGGACAGTTTAGCAGCAGTCTGTGCTTCCACCAGGCCGGGGGCTCCCCATGCACTGCGATAACAACAGAGTATTCACACACTTTGGCAAGACTAGTGATAGAAATGTAGCCGTGTTAGTCTGGTGTAGCTGAAACCAAGTGAGTTATAAGACCAAGAACACATATTCCTGCGCATCCAGAAATATAATTTATGCAATCATGTGCCAAAAGTGCCCGTCTGCTATGTACATTGGACAAACGTCTCAGACACTTCGCCAAAGGATCAATGCCCACAGAACAGATATCAGACAGGATCACAAAGAGAAAACAGTTTCTTGCCATTTCAACCAGAAAGGACACTGTCTCAATGACTTAATTACCTGCATCCTGCTTCAAAAGCCTTTTAAGACTGCACTTGAAAGAGAATCCTCTGAACTATTATTCATGCTAAAATTCGACACTTTACGCCGAGGTCTTAACAAAGACTCTAGTTATCTTACCCATTACAAAGATAGCTTCCCCAATTATCACCTCTAATATCATTAGCTCACAGACGTTTACCTTCCCCACCCCATCCCCTTTCTGTTCTGTAATTTGATTTGTCCTTTTCATATGTGTTCATTTTTTTAATTGTATCCTTTGGTATATATGGTTGTGACTATTTTCTTCCACTATTTGATCTGAGGAAGTGGGTCTGGCCCACGAAAGCTCATCACCTAATAAACCATCTTGTTAGTCTTTAAAGTGCTACATAGTCCTGTATTTTGTTTTGGCAAGGCTGATTTTCAGTGGAACTCATGTAGGATTCTGACAGAAGCGCTTTGGCAAGCAGGAGCGGGAACTGACGCAGAGCCATAAACTCCTGCTGCCTCGACACAAAGCTCACTTTCATTTCAATGGCACGCTCACAAACAAGGGCTCTCATTCACATACTACAGAAGCCCAGGGTTAAAAGCCACGCCATTTTAGGCCCATTATAATTAAATTGTTATTAGCCCTAAGGAGAGAAGCAACATCTAGAAAACCTCTCACTGGCTTTCAGGGCAGGTTTCTCCTAATACTCAGAATCTGAGTAACAAGCCAGAGTTCACTTAGATTTATCCTAGAATCCTAGGGCTGGAAGAGACCTCACGAGTCATCGAGTCCAGAACTCTTGCCCAAAGCAGGATCAACCCCAACTAAATCAACCCTACCAAGGCTTTGTCAAGCCGGGCCTTCAAAACCTCTAGGGATGGAGAATCTCTAGGGCAGTGGTCCCCAACCTTTTGGGCTGCCAGGCGCCCGGGGCGGGGCTGCGCATGCGCCAGAGGCCTAAGGTGCAAGAATGGCTCGGGTCGGCCCTGGTCATTAGGTGGGCGCACATAAATGCCCCAGGAGGCTCCATGGAGCCCGCGGGCACCACGTTGGGGACCACTGCTCTAGGGATATCCCTTGGAAGACCAGTTTACTCCTGGGTATATTTTAAAAGCTATTCAAACCTGTTCCTTACGTCTGGGTTTTATGGGACTTGTCTCCTCTATCAGCTCTGCCAGAGCACACCAAAATAAGGTGTTTGCCCACATACCGTCAGTATCTAAAGAGGCTGCTCCCAGGTACCCAGCACCGTTCCGGCAAGGCTAGACATTGGAACTGGGGTACAGGAGAAGAGACCCTACAGCCACCAAGAGGAAATGGCATCTGAGCAGCACTTCAAATGGATCAGAACTCAAACAGAACAGCCCTGCAGCTCAGCACCAAGCACCGGCCCACACACTGGGACAGGATGCAAACATGCCCCTCATGCCCAGAGGTGAGGTCTCCCATCACCAAGACTCCATTGATTAATTAGTTACATACAATTAGGATTACCCCCAAACTGATGGATGGGGCCATACCAAGCGTTACTTACCGCGAAGTGTCGCTGGAAAGCTTTGGGCCCTCGGTAGGTGTAGTTACCGCAAATCTCACAGTTGTAGTTGATGTTCAAACCATGTAGTTTATATAACCAATAGGGGATGGGCTGAAATACAAGCCAGGCAGAGCTTAGGTCAGGTTACAAGGGGGGTGTTTGGATGCAGTGAAAGATCTCGGCTCTGGAGCAACAGGGGAGCCAGCCTCACCTTGCCATCCCAGCCAAGCGGCAGGTTTTTAGGGTTGTAAATTATTTCATTGTCATCGTCTTCGCTTTCGCTCTCACTGATCTGCTCCTCCTCTTCCTCCTCTCTCTCCTCGCCTGTGCGCGCTTGCTTACGCTGCACGTTCTCATGGGTGAGATGTCTTTGTTCCTATGATGCAGGAAAGCACGTGGGCATGAGGGGCAATAGTCAAAGATGGCAGCACACAGGGTAGCCAAAAAAAGTGTGTGTGCGTGTGTGTGCGCGCGCGCAGGGAGGAAAAAAAAAAATCACACGAGTATTCATCCTTCTTTTGTGAAATCCCCTCCATTGGCTTCATTACGGTCTGTGCCATAACGCTGCATTGATTTGTCTGCAGTCAATCAAGAGAACTCCACCCAATTTTGCTCCACCCAACAACCTGTAAGGTCGCTGGGTAGAACACAAATCTCATCGCAAGACGACAGTGGAAATATTTAAGTACAATTACTTCCAAGCTGCTTAGCAGTGATGGCAACCAGCCTTCTAAAGGCTTGTCTTCACTACACAGAGGATTGACTCTGCAGCGATCAATCCGCTGGCCGGTGATTTATCACATGTGTTTCGATGCAACAAATCGACCTCTGAGCATTCTCCTGTCGACCCTGGTACTCCACCAGGACAAGAAGAGTAGCTAGAGTCTACCAGAGAGCAGCCCCCTTACTGCACAGAAGACACTGAGGTAAGTATATCAACTTCAGCTACACTATTTGTGAATCTGAAGTTGTGTAGCTTAGATCAACTGGGAGGGAGGGGGTGTTAAGTTGATTAGGCCTAAAAGTCACCACTGAAAACTGCGGCAAGACCATGAAGCCAAATGAAGGCAGCATTCATGGGGCTTGCTGTCTCTGGGGGTTAGATGTAAAATCAAAATTCTACACTCGGCAGAAAAGGCTGCTTCCCAGGGCACTCCTGACCGTCCTATCTGAGTTACACAAAGACTCATGATCTGCCATTCGCAGAGAGCCAGACCCAACCCTCAGCATCACAGCTGTAGGAGACGGAATCTTCACTAAAAGCTGGCAGGTTAGCAAACAACAGGAAGAAGCAATTCCAGACTCCTGTCTTAAGGATTTCCAGGTCTGCCCAGCACCATACACAACATAACCCTTCTGTATGTGGTGCTTAAGAAAGGGAGAGAGGAAGACAACTGAGTCTACAACAACTTTTGATGGCGCTGCATTTGCAAAGCTCACAGATAAAAAGTAAAAACCTTACCCCAAGAATTTCTACGTACTCGTAGACCTGTGCTTCCAAGAATGCAAGGTCTTTGTTCCTCTCTGTGTCCCTGAAATACAAAAGGAACTTTCTCAAGCACTGTCCATGCACCTGATTCCTAAAGATACACTTGGGCTGTGTCTAGACTGGCAAGTTCTTCCACGAAAGCAGCTGCTTTTGCGGAAAAACCTGCCAGCTATATACACTGGCCGCTTGAATTTCCGCAAGAACACTGACGATCTCATGTAAGAAATCAGTGCTTCTTGCGGAAATACTATGCTGCTCCCGTTCGGGCAAAAGTCCTTTTGCGCAAAGTTTTTGCGCAAAAGGGCCAGTATAGACAGCTCAGATTTGTTTTGCGCAAAAAAGCCCCGATCGTGAAAATGGCAATCGGGGCTTTTTTGCGCAAAAGCGCGTCTAGATTGGCACAGATGCTTTTCCGCAAAAAGTGCTTTTGCAGAAAAGCGGCCGTGCCAATCTAGATGCTCTTTTCCGCAAATGCTTTTAGCGGAAAACTTTTCCATTAAAAGCATTTGCGGAAAATCATGCCAGTCTAGACGTAGCCTTGATGTGTAGCTACTAAGAAAGCGGGGAAACAAATATCAGGCATTCCGTTTAGCCTCCGCTGCACATGTACTGTTCAGTGAAGCCAGACACTCTGACCGGCTAACTCAGTCATTTGGCTCTGGCATGCAGAGCACCTAAATGCTCCAGGGACATCTCATCTCTGCCATTTATAACTAACAGAAGGGAAAACATCTTTAACTGGGGCAATAATTAATGAAGGAAGAAGCAGGAAACTGAGTGTAAATGAAGGGTCGACCCGGGCAGCGTTCCGCGTAAGATGGGAGTTTGTGTGGCCATTCAGGAGATTCAAAGGCCGCCCAGCTGGTTAGCAGAGCGTCCACAGCCAGGTTTTTGTTTCTAGTGCCTTGGTGCACACAAAAAAATATTCCGCACATGGATGGAAAAGATTAGAGGGAACATTGAACCTTTTGGGGGCTCACCTTTTGCTTCCTTTTGTCTTTGGATTCTTAGCAAACAAGGAAGAATCGAGGGCTTCCAAGGATTTTCCTTCTGTGCT